ACGACACCCGCCAGAAGACGCGGCCGCGCACAAAGATCTCCGTGGAGGCCCTGGGGATCCTCCAGAGTTTCATCCAAGACGTCGGCCTGTACCCGGACGAGGAGGCCATCCAGACTCTGTCCGCCCAGCTGGACCTGCCCAAGTTCACCATCATCAAGTTCTTTCAGAACCAGCGGTACTATCTCAAGCACCACGGCAAACTGAAGGACAACTCCGGCCTGGAGGTGGACGTGGCCGAATACAAAGAGGAGGAGCTGCTTAAGGATTTAGAAGAGGGTGTGCAAGACAAAAACGCTAACACCCTTTTCTCGGTGAAGCTGGAGGACGAGCTGGCGGTGGAAGGGAACACAGACATTAACGCCGACTTGAAAGACTGAGACATCAAGTATTATTTTCATTCAACAGTGCCACTGGTATTTACTAACACAATGAAAATCCACCTGTATGCGCTCAGAAACCTTTGTTGTTCATGGTTTGGCCAATGAATCTTCAGAAACTTGCACAAACAGGAAAGTTGAGAAGGGATAATGCAGACTGCACTAAATGTTTTACTCTGATTTACAAACTGCTCGGCAGCCCCAGGTGAAGCATTGAGGATTGTTTGGTATTAAAAGTTCAGATTTGTGTTCTCGGGAACGCACCGAGGTGTGTACCCCCGTCAGCATGATACCAGTGATTTTTTTAAAAAAAAATTATTATTATTCTGGAGCCTCAAACAAGCATTATAACTTCTGTGATTATGATTTCCTTCCTTTCATTATTTCTGTAACACTCCACACTGATCTTTGGAAACTCGCCCCTTATTTTAAAAGAAAAAAAAAAGAGTTTGTTACTCTATTGTATGTTACAAAAGAACTATAGACTGTGGAATGCAGTTTAAAGATGACATATGCCAACAAATGCCTTGTATTATATGGCACTGCCGTAATTCAAATTTGTTTTTATTTTGGAAATAAAAGTTCACTGTAATTTTTTTTTCATTCTCATTGTTACATGATTTTTTTTTAATGAAAAGAAAATGTGAAACACAGTTTAGTCCTCATTATTTATTTGTAGATCCTGCAGCATCATGTTGTAATTAATTTTTTGGAAGTTTCCGTTAAATGTAATATTGCTTCTCTTGTTACCATACTGATTCTTTTCTATTTATAAATGTATTTTGATGGGCAGTAAAACAAAGTGTCTTAAAAGTTTTAAATAGAGAAAATGTGCTTTACACAGTTGCCTATAAAAAGTGCTCTATGTTATCCAAGCAATTCATACTATAAGCTTCACTCTTATTGTTGTATGCAATTTTTACTATCATGCAAATAAGCTTAGGTAAATAAAACTAATAGATCACCTTAGAAAATTATGCAATTAATGTGAAAATAATTGATGTTTGCAATGTGTCTTCCTTTGGTTTACAATCAATTTTAAAGCTACATCTGTATAAAATTTCTGTATAAAGGTGTATTTCTTTTTTATGAGTTTATGGCTATGAAAACACCAGCTATTTTGTTACAGCTGGCTGTTTTTATAAGTGTATCACAATTTTCTTTATGCAGAAATATTCTGATTAGGAAGTGGTTATTGACTGTAACTACACAATTAAAATTGTTTGTATGGTATGACATGGTAGGGTTTGTCTGCTTATGTGGAGTAACTATCCAGAGTCAAAGGTGGTCCTCTCGGTTAGGTGCATGTTCATACTTTCTTGATGATATTTTACTGATTCTTAAAAGAGCAATTGAAAAGAAAAGTCACTCGAAATGCTGTAAATTTAGATCACAAACACATGCTCCTTTTTAAAGTTTAACTATGAAGATCATAACCTGTTTGGGGTTAACATTTTGCTTAATAAACAGATAGCAGGATGGTCTAAAGACTCACTGGCAAAAACATAATTCCAGCCTCTAGCAGTTATGTGCTTAGAAAGTGGATTCATCTGCATTTATTCCACAGTACTTTACTTATGGCAACGCTTTTTTTTAAGCTAATGTACACATATTTTTAAAGGCCATTAATAACAAAATAAGTAAGGAAAAGGGGACCTTTTGTATAAATATTCCTTAATAAGCAACGTATTTTTTAAAAGTTATAAATGGAATATACATTAACTCGGTTCATGCAGAAAATATGAATAACACACCTGGAATTTAAACACAATTTTCAAGATACAAAATTAGGGTGTGCTAATGGTCATGGGAAGGTTGGAGGCCAGTGTTGCAGTTTTTGATTATTTTCTTTTTCTATTCACTTTATATCTTGCTTCCTTTTTTTAAGGTTTCCTCGATGTTAATAGGGGGTATCCGAATTCCTTCAAACTTGGTTCTGAAATGGCCCATTCTTTTCCTGCCAGTGCCCTAGGCCATGATAAGCTCATTGGTAGTCAACTGGGTTGCTTTAGTGTTGAGCTTTTACTTAGGATACTGAAATGGGATCATTGAAAACTCCGAATTCAGTTTTCAAAAGTACTATTTACTTTTAAAGCACAGCTGAACTACTATGAAGGCAGCTGGTTTGCTGCAGACTTAAAATTGATTGAAAAGTTTTCAGATCTTTTATTAAGTGAGGAAACTTAAACATTCTTGCTCCCTAGAGTTTAGGAAATAATTTGAGCAAAAGGAATTTGAATTAGAATAGACATAAGATTTCATGTATTAAAAATAAGACAAATAGACACTAGTATACTATGAAGTTTTTAAGAAAGCTCTATCTTCCTCTTTTTTCATATGTTAAAATTTAGAACAGAGAGACTTTTTTTTTTTTAACCAGCCCAACATTTAACAGATGTCAGAGGTATGAAATTTAATTTTGGGAGGGAAAGGAGAAATTGGATTGCAAATATGATTTTCCCATTCCCAATAATCTAACTTATGCAATAACTTTCTCAAGGAATTGATGAGTGTGTGTAAGAAATCAACAATACTAACAAAATTCTTAGGCCCTTTAATCTTGGCAGCCCTAATTCTGCTAATAGGACATTTTAATACCCTCCCCACCCCCCAAAAATAGCACATGTCAGTAAACAATTATGGTCATGATGGAGTGAGTACAATTGTTTTCAGGAAAGATGGCATGACTTGGAAAAGATCTGTCTGGGTGATCTTCCACATTGCTCCCCCAATGCCACCTATCGCTCGCTCACACCAGTCCTATTGCTGGCGGCTATGGTACAATTCCTTGAACAAGCTTCATCGTGTCCAAGTTTATCAGAGACTTTAAAAGCGGGGCATGACATAGCGCTTCGTGCTGTGAAGACCTTAGCAGAGTCAGGTAGTTTACGGGTAATATTCAACCTTGCGCATCTGAATCTGTCATGGATTCCTCCCCTCAGCACTTTGCCACTAATTTGTATTACACTCTGTGGCCATATAATACTTGCACATTATGCAAAAAATAATGTTGATAGTATCTCCTTGGCACAAAATATGCAGAGTTGACACGTAACCTTTGACAACCAAGGTAACTAATATGTATGCGTGCCCTAGTTGTGTGGCACTTGGTTACAAAGTCTGTTCATACTATGTATAAAGTGTGTATAGATTAACATTTAGCCCCAATGAATTCTGAGCTTAAAAGAAGTGTGTCTTTTTATAAGTAGTGCTATCTCTATCTATGTTTATCTAAAATATATAGCTTGAGTAGAAAACATTTTTAAATGGTTCCAGATTGAGTAAAAATGACAATCCCATACATTCCATTATGAAAGTCTGCCCTATTCCCTATTGTTATCATCAGCCAATTTTAAGTCCTTGAATGTCACAATGTTATCAATAAATGAGCTGTTCTGAACTGCCTGGTGATATTTTCAAAGAGAGCAATTAAAATGTATAAACCCTATTAAATAACCTATAGAGAAAGGACTACTATGTTAAAACAAGCCAGCAATTTGCATGGTAGGTGGAAATCAATGGAGGTCCAAAAACATTAATCATATCTAAAATATCAGAAGATATTGATGCTATAGTTTACCTTACAAATAAATATTTTTTACTGTTGAAGGGGGTGTATTATGGATTTGGTGTTTCTTCTGGGGCAATCCTTTTCATGTAAATACTATTTGCATGTTTTTTGACAAAGGCTAAGCTACAATCTATTAACACACGTTTTTGATGAAAATATACAGTGCCCTTATTTAAAAAATGTGGTGGAAGGTGTATGTCCAGAATACGATCCCTGTTTCTGATACCAAATGTTAAATAAATAGTTTGGAATTACTGTTTAAAAGATGAGCAACATGTTTAAGCCTTTCTTACATTACCCTACTTATGTGGATTATGCATTTCTAACTTTAATTTTATCAAAATAATTCCACAATCCCATTATGGTTTCTTGCTTATATCAAGGTTATATATTGTCATTTTCTTTTTTCAAAAATATAAGTTTGGAATTACTGTTTAAAAGATGAGCAACATGTTTAAGCCTTTCTTACATTACCCTACTTATGTGGATTATGCATTTCTAACTTTAATTTTATCAAAATAATTCCACAATCCCATTATGGTTTCTTGCTTATGTCAAGGTTATATATTGTCATTTTCTTTTTTCAACAATATAATTTCATAGAGGAAAGGAGGAGAGAGAGAGAGAAACATCAATGATGAGAGAGAATCATTGATCAGCTGCCTCCTGCATGCCCCACACTGGGGAAATCAAACCTCAAATGGGGGAATGCCTTAGAGCAGTATGTTATATTTGTTGCCTTGCAAAATAAACACAAAGAAACTCAAGTGATGTATTTTGCATTAGATTAAATGTTAAGCATCACCTCGTTACTGCCAGTTGAACATTTTTACTATTACTGAATATTTGCTTTTTATGGTATTCAAGCTTTCAGTCTAGCGATAGTCTCTAATTCATGCCCTTGGGCCCAAAAAAGAAACGATGTTCCACGTGCGGCTCTGATTTGCCACTTACAGTACCTGTTAGATGAAAGTGTTGACAAGGTTCAAATATTTAAATGCGTCCCTTGATTCGCTGAGTCTGTGGCAATGTGATGCAAAATGAGCTTTTGTCCAGAGCACAACCCGCCCAACAGCATCTTAATGTGGGGCCAGGTTTCAGCTACTCCCCCTTCGTTTCCCGTTTTAATTTCCAAGTATTTGTTTTACCATCTCATACAAAGGCTTCCTACCTTCTGAGGACCCTTTCCCTACCATCCTCCTCAAATACGCTTAAAGTGCTAATAGCACAACGTGTGCTGAAAGCTTCATTTTACTAGGCAGCGCCACAAACGTGTCTCCATTCCACTATGAAGTGTTGTCAGGAGGGTACTGGCATTCCCACTTCCAAGATGAGGGAAGAGAAACTCAGCGTAACTCCCTTGTTCGGCTAAGTGGTCACATTGGTCTTTAAACCCAACTCTACTATCTACAAATTCTATCTCTACTTTCTCCTTTAAAAAATAACTTCCTCAAATTTAGAAGATATAGGAAACTTAATTGCAATTCAAATTTTTTCAGAAATATAACACGTATTTTGCTAATGTAAACAGTTCATCACTAAAGTAATTGAAATCAAGTATATGAAATGTTTCATCATGAAATATCTATCCCCAAACTCTGCCATCCTGGTATAAGATCCATATATACCAAATTTAATTTAAAAAAAACCCACAACACTTTGTTATAGTAATTTTCAAATACACATGAAAAAGAATAGAATAATGAACTCCCAAGGATTCATTACCCAGTTCAAAAACATTTTTTGTCAATAAATACTTTGTAAAACTATTTAAAAATATATTTTATTGCCCTAACCGGTTTGGCTCAGTGGATAGAGCGACGGCCTGCGGACTGAAAGGGGATGTGCCCACAACCAAGGTACATACATGCCCTTGACCAGAATCGAACCTGGGACCCTTCAGTCCGCAGGCTGATGCTCTATCCACTGAGCCAAACTGGCTAGGGCTGTAAAACTTTTTAAAATTAAGAAAATATCCAAACTGTTTGATGGCTCCTGCTCATTATCTTACTTTTTTTTGGAAAGTAATGCATTTTCTTATTTCTAAAAAAAACCCCAAAAACTAAAACTTGAAGTTTTTCCCAGAGCCCTCAATCCTCAAAAAGCCACTTTTAGAAGGAGAACCTGTGAGAATTCCACAAATATTTGTACCACAAAAAAGAGAGACAAACCAGCCTCTCTTTATTTATAAACAATGCGTGCTTTCATATCATTGTTTAAACTAAAGTACATAATTTTCAGTTATGCATAATAAAATATGTAATTAAGCAACATTCCATGGTGGATTAAAGAATTAAAAGCTTCAGGTGCAGAAAAGAATTTGTTGGCATTTTCTTTTTTCAAGGTGGTATTTTGAGGTGTTACTTTTCATTTTCCTTTGACATCTTATACACAAATAAATAGACAGAAACAGGTGAGAAGCAGAGAAATGAAGGGCTGGCTCTACAATAGACCTGAAATATGTAGCGAGGCAGAATACTCGCCACATGCCCACAAAAGCTAAATTAAAAAGGACAAGAATCTTTTTAGTCTGGGGGGCGGGGGGGAACCACACGAAACTCTAAATAGGAGCATGTGCTTCAAGAAATAGAATATAGAAAGTTAACTGCATTAGGTTATGCTTAGATTTTAAACTACATTAAATTAATTCACAGTCCAAATGGTAGAGTCCAGTAAACTTATTTTTCAAATGAAGAACTAAATTTAATTAATATTTCTGGACTAGACACATCAAAGTTCATAGAGGCATTTGCAAGTTATTTCTTGCCAGTCTATGGCTTGTCTTTTCATTCTCTTAACAGTGTCCTTTAAAGAACAGAAAGAAGTCCTTGATTTGGGTGAAGTTCAATTTAACATTTTCTTTTCCTTTTAAAGGTCTTGCTTTCACTGATGTATCTAAGTAATATTTGCCTAATCCAAGGTCACAGAAATTTTCTCCTATCTTGTATAAGTTTTATAGTTTTAGGATTTACATTTAAATCCACGATCTATTTTAAGTTGATTTTTATAGGTGACAAATTACCAAGGTTTAGATCAAAATATTTTTTTTCTTTTTTCTGTTTTATTTTTGCATTTCTTCCAGTACCATTTGTTTAAAAGACTATTCTGTCTCCATTGAATTGCCTTTGCATCTTTGCAAAAAAATAAATTGACCATATATATGTGTGTGTCACTTTCTATTTTGGTTTGTTGTTCTCTCCTCCAAGATCTCACAGTCTTACTAGTAATTACTCTCCTATAAAATAAGAGGCTAATATGCAAATCAACCGAACCGGTCGCTATGACACTCACTGATCACCAGAGGCGGATGCTCAATGCAGGAGCTGTCCCCTGGTGGTCAGTGTACTCACATAGGGGGAGCACTGCTCAGCCAGAAGCTGGGCACATGGCTGGTGAGCACAGTGGCAATGATGGGAGCCTCTCCTGCCTCTACATCAGTGGGACATCTCCTGAGGGCTCCCGGACTGCAAGAGGGCACAGGCCGGGCTGAGGGATCCTGCCCCCTGCCCAGGTGCACAAATTTCGTGCACCAGGCCTCTAGTAGCTTATAATAAGCCTGCAGGTAATCTACATCTTTAAACTTTATTATTCTCTTCTTCGAAGTTGTTTTGTTGCTTCTGGGTTTTTCACTTCCCTATGAATGTTAGACTCAGCTCATCATTTTCACCCCAGAAAATATGCTGGATTTTTATTTGGTTGTTTAAACTGCATAGATCATTGTGAGAAGAACTGGCATTTTAACAATATTGAGTCTTCATGAACATGAGTTTTCTCTTCATTTATTTAAGTCTTTGTTCATTTCTCTTAGCATTGTTCTATAGTTTTCAGTGTACAGTTCTAACTCATCTGGTCAGATTTATCCCCAAATTATTTTATACTTTTGATTCCATTGTACATATTTTTTAAAATTTTGATTTCCTGTTGTTTGCTCCTAGTATATAGAAACATAATTCATTGATGTTTTATATATTGATCTTTTAGCCTGCAACCTAGTCTAAACTCATAATAGTTCTAGTAGCTTTTTTGTAGAATCCATCAGATTTTCTACATAAACAATCATGCCATCTACAAATAGTTTTATTTTTTCTTTCCAATCTAAATATCTTCTTTGCTTTAATTTTCTAGAATGTCTAGTACAATGTTAAATAGAAAAGATAAGAGCAGATATCCTTGCCTCATTCCTGAACTTATGTGCTAGCGCTGTTCTAAACCCTTTACAATAAATTCATTTAATCCAAATAATCACTATATAAGGGAGGTATGTTATTATTTTATTATTAATAATGAAACTAGACACAGAGTTTTTATATATCTTCCCTCAGTGGATATGGCTCCCAACAAATCTTTCATCTCTCAAAATGCAACTATTGATTTTGCCTTGGCAATCATTCTTTATCCTTATTTGCTATAAGGGTCATAGCTTTAACACTCAACTCTTGATTAGGTGTCAGGCTATGCCATAAAATTTTATTTGACCAAAATAAAGTTCAACTATAAAAATATAGTAGGAAGAGAATTGTGCTAAAAAAATAAACTAAGGGAAGAAGAGAAGGGAGCCAGGAGAAAGAACAGGGTAACAGGAAGAGAAGAATGAAGATGTTGGGAGGAAATAGGAAGACTGGCTGGTAAATGAGATTACTCAAAGGAGAAGCATACCTTCTGAATATTTTTTATAAGTATAAAAAAAGAAAATCACATGGCTAACTGACCCCTTTTGATGATTTTGAAAACACTGTCTATTTTTAAATTTGGTGATTCCAATAAGTACCCTACTATCAATGTCTTAGATCAGTGATGGGCAAAATATGATCTATGGGCCAAATCCAGTCTGCTTCCTGTTATGTAAATAAAGTTTTACTGGAACACAACCACACCCATTCATTTACTTATTCTCTATGGCTGCTTTTGTGGTATAACAATAGAATTAGAATGGTTGTGTAAGAGGCCATCTGGCCACAAAGTCTAAAATATTCACTCTCTGGCACCTGTATAAAAAATGTTTGCCAACCTCTGCTCTAGACAATTAAGTTGTGCCTAGGTTTGCAAAGGTAGAAAACTAAAGCAATTTTCTAGATAACTTGTGTCAAAACAAAATAATCATTTCAACATTTTTCAGGAGAGTTGGAGCATATATTAGAAACTCTTTAATTCCCAATGCCATGTTTCACTTGATGTGTATGAAGAACCTAGTGAACTCATTGGCTTACACAGAGCATTAGACCAGAGATCCTACAACCTGTTGCTCACCAGTAACTAGTCTAAAA